GTCCCGCTGCCTTGATCCTGTCACGCTTCCCCCCACCTGTCCCTCTGTGCTCCTCCTGGCCCACTGCCCCTCTGCGCTCCTCCTGTCCCGCTGCCTTGATCCTGTCCCATGCCCCCCATCATGATGCCCCCCACCTGTCCCTCTGTGCTCCTCCTGTCCCACTGCCCCTCACCTGTCCCTCTGCATTCCTCTTGTCCCACTCCCCCTATCCTGTCCCATGCCCCCTGTCATGCTGCCCCCCACCTGTGCCTCTGCACTCCTCCTGTCCCACTGCCCCTTACCTGTCCCTCTGTGCTCCTCCTGTCCCGCTGCCTCGATCTTGTCCCATATCCCCTGTCATGCTACCCCCCCACCTGTCCCTCTGTGCTCCTCCTGTCCCACTGCCCTTCACCTGTCCCTCTGTGTTCCTCTTGTCCCACTGCCCCTATCCTGTCCCATGCGCCCTGTCATGCTGCCCCCCACCTGTGCCTCTGCACTCCTCCTGTCCCACTGCCCCTTACTTGTCCCTCTGTGCTCCTCCTGTCCCGCTGCCTCGATCTTGTCCCATATCCCCCGTCATGCTACCCCCCCCCCACCTGACCCTCTGTACCCCTCACCTGTCCCTCTGCGATCCTCCTGTCCCGCTGCCTCAATCCTGTCCCATGCCCCCCTGTCACACTGCCCCCTACCAGTCCCTCTGCACTCCTCTTGTCCCACTGCCCCTCACCTGTCCCTCTGCACTCCTCCTGTCCCACTGCCCCTATTCTGTCCCATGCCCCCTGTCATGCTGCCCCCCACCTGTCCCTCTGCGCTCCTCTTGTCCCACTGCCCCTCACCTGTCCCTCTGCACTCCTCCTGTCCCACTGCCCCTCACCTGTTCCTCTGTGCTCCTCCTGTAACCCTGCCCCTCACCTGTCCCTCTGCGCTCCTCCTGTCCTGCTGCCCTTATGCTGTCCTATGCCTCCATCACGCTGCCCCCCATCTGTCCCTCTGTACTCCTCCTGTCCCTCTGTGCTCCACCTGTCCCGCTGCCCCTATCCTGTCCCATGCCCCCGGTCATTCTGCCCCCCCTAGCTGTCCCTCTGCACTCCTCCTGCTCCACTGCACTTCACCTGTCCCTCTGTGCTCCTCCTGTCCCACTGCCTCTCACCTGTCCCTCTGTGCTCCTCCTGTCCCCTGCCCCAATCCTGTCCCATGCCCCCCGTCACGCTGCCCCCCACCTGTCCCTTTGCACTCCTCCTGTCCCTCTGCTCCTCACATGTCCCTCTGCGCTCCTCCTGTCCCACTACCCCTCACCTGTCCCTCTGCGCTCCTCCTGTCCCACTACCCCTCACCTGTCCCTCTGCGCTCCTCCTGTCCTGCTGCCCCGATCCTGTCCCCATGTCCCCCGTCCCGCTGCCCCCACCTGTCCCTTTGCACTCCTCCTGTCCCTCTGCTCCTCACATGTCCCTCTGCGCTCCTCCTGTCCCACTACCCCTCACCTGTCCCTCTGTGCTCCTCCTGTCCCGCTGCCTCTCACCTGTCCCTCTGTGCTCCTCCTGTCCCCTGCCCCGATCCTGTCCCATGCCCCCCGTCAGGCTGCCCCCCACCTGTCCCTCTGCGCTCCTCCTGTCCCACTGCTCCTCACCTGTCCCTCTGTGCTCCTCCTGTCCCATTACCCCTCATCTGTCCCTCTGTGCTCCTCCTGTTCTGCTGCCCAGATCCTGTCCCATGCCCCCCGTCACGCTGGCCCCCACCTGTCCCTTTGCACTCCTCCTGTCCCACTGCTCCTCACCTGTCCCTCTGCGCTCCTCCTGTCCCACTACCCCTCACCTCTCCCTCTGCGCTCCTGTCCCGCTGCCCCGATCCTGTCCCATTCCCCCCGTCACGCTCTTCCTCACCTGTCTCTCTGCACTCCTCCTGTCCCTCTGCGCTCCTCCTCCTGTCCCGCTGCCCTGAATCCTGTCCCGTGCCCCCCGTCACGCTGCCCACCACCTGTCCCTCTGCTTTGCCATCCATCACGCTGCCCCCATCATGCTGCCCTCCCCGTCACGCTGCCTCCCTCTTGTCCTGCTACCCCCCACCTGTCCCAATGGCCTACTCCTGTCCTGATATCCCCCGTCATGGTGCCCCCCCCTCCTATCCCATTTCCCCCTTCCTGTCCTGCGGGCCCCCCTATTACACTGCCTCCCTCCTGTCCCGCGACACCTCCCCCATGTCACACTGCCCTCCATCATGCTCCAGTCCTGAAGAGGTGGATCTTAAACAGCAAAGGGAGGGACACATTTAGATGGGGTTGCCCAATTTTAATCTTGCGTAGGGCAGCACAAAACCAAAATACACCACTGACTAGACCTCCTATATAAATATAAATTGGTGACCTGTAAAGGCTTTTAAACCTTTGCATATCAATAATAAATTTGTATGTACTTTGTTGCTATTGCACAGGCATGCGCAATTTTAAAGCTTTACATGTTTGGTATCTATTTACGCGGCCTAACATCATCTTTTATATGTTATCAAACAATTGGGCAATATATTGTGATTTTATGCTTTAAAATTCTAAAAAGTGTAATTTTCCCAAAATATTTGTATTTGAAAAATCGCTGTGCAAATACTGTGTGACGTAAAACATTTCAACACCCACCGTTTTATACTCTAGGGCCTCTGCTTTAAATAAAAATATATAATGTATGGGGGTTCAAAGTAATTTTCTAGCAAAAAAAAAAAACTATTTTTTCATGTGAACAAAAAGTGTCAGAAAAGGCTTGGTCTTCAAGAGTGGGTGATGTGTGGCATAAGCTTCTAATATTGGCCCTGAAATGCCAGGATAGTAGAAGCAACCCCTCCAAATGACCCTTTTTTGGAAAGTAGACACTCCAAGGTATTTGCTAAGAGGCATGGTGAGTATTTTGCAGATCTCATTTATTGCCACATGTTTTTGGAAAACGAAGGGAAAAAAATGTATTTTCTTTTCTTTTTTTTCTTGTTCAAAACCCTGTGACAAAAATTATATTTGTAAAGAACTCACCATGCCTCTTATCAAATTTCTTGGGATGTCTGCTTTCCAAAAAGGGGTCATTTGGGGGAGGGGGGGGGTGTTTGTACTATCCTGGCATTTTACAGCCTCCAAAACTATGATAGGTAGTGGGGAAGTGCCCTTTGAAAGCCTGGAGGTGGTCATTGGATTTTGGGGGCTTGTATGTAGCTAGGCTGCCAAAAGATCTCTCACATGTGGTACCCCTATACTTGGAATAAATAGAAGAATGTGTAGAAAAAGTATAAAACCACAGAGGTGATCAAATACCACCAAAAGAAAGCTCTATTTGTGTGAAAAAAAGAACATAAAGTTTGTTTGGGTACAGCATTGAATGACCACACAATTGCCAGTTGAAATAGCACAGCAAAAAATGGCCTGGTCATGAAGGGGGGTAAATCTTCTGGAGGGCAAGTGGATATTTAACAAAATATGTTTGCTAAAAACCTCTAGGAGGCCTGGCAGTACCTAGTATTTACCAATACTACCTGGCAGCAAACATTGCTTCTTTACCTCATCTCCATGCCACCCATGATTTCTCCCTCTGGACTAGTTAGACTCTGTCGTTTGTCATCCAATCACCAGAGCTTCTCTTCCCTGGCTTCCACGGATTCGCCATCCACAGGCTTTAAATACCATTCTAACTCTCACAATGTGTATTTGGGAAAATTCTCTGGAATCCTCATATCTCCAAACCTTCCTTTGCTCAGACATCTCTACCTTTATTGCCAGTGGCTTTTAGCCTAAATGTGAAAACATGGGCACAGGCAGTCATTTTCCTCAAAAGACATGGGTAGGAAAAAATGGCCAGTGGCACCAGTTTGCTGTTAGAACAAACATGCTTAAAATCAAAGATACAAACCAAACGTTCACCTCAAAAAATTAGACCTGTTAGGTTTAGGTGAGTAAAAATTGCTCAGTGGCATTGCAGTACCAACAGGCCTAAACGTGGAGACACAAGCCACAGAGAGGTGTCTGTCTAAAAAATAAAGTCAGCATTGAAACTCTTATGTTTGGGTGGATAAAAAATGGCCAGCGGCACCACAGTTTGAAGGTAATGCCAACAGTGGGCTGTGCAGTTCAGGAATGGTCAGAAAGGAACTGTTACCATTAAACAATTTCCAGGACAAAATGTGCATATATGGAAGGAGCGTCAGACCAAAAAATAAGAGTCCAAATTCATTTGTTGATGTTGTGTTAAAAGACAGCCAACTCGATTTGGGGGTCAAAGGAACTCCCCCTTCATCATGGCTACAATAAAACATAATATAATGTAAAAATAATTGTGACTGCTAAAAACATGAGCCTTAAAATCTTAAAACATCATGGGTAACATGCAGAGACATGTGTGTGCTTTTAGTTATGCTCCAGTAATTGGTGAAGGAAACCTGGCAGGTAGTAACTGCTGGAGATAGTGGTTACTGGTTAGTTAGGGTGAGGTTTCAGCCTATGCTTTACAGTCCGTGGTGCGGCCTGCTTATCTTCTGCTGGTGCCATCAAAGTGTGGTGCCACTGTACCATATTTTACCGACCCACCCTGTTCTGGAAAAAAGCATTTAGGGCATTGTCAGTAGTAGTCTTTTTACCCTAAATGGTAAACATAACTATAAGTGTTCCACTTACAGATTACTTAGCATGCATACACTTAACATTAACACAAAAAAAATCTCATGTTTGATCTGCATAAATTGTGTCAGTGATTGCATATGCTGACTCCTACAGAACGTACAGTCAGTGAAGTGGAACATCAATATATAGAAACCAGCAAATTCACGATATTATATACACAAACATCTACATATTAATACAGAAACAAATCCAATCTCTATTACACAATGGTATGGACTAATTTTATTCAGAAATAAAAAGGAATATTAGATAGAACACAATGATTAAATTCTAAAAAGTAGCCTACATCTAAGAGCCACCTGTTTAATTTGAAATATTTATTGTTTTGTTCTCGTGAACTGTAACATTTCTAGTAAAATCATATTTTCATTCCTGCCTAATTTATGCTCTGAACTTGATTCTTTCCAGCCTGCTGCAGTTCTTTCTCCAGGTGTAATAGCTGTTGAAGGAAACCTGCGTTTGGGAAAATCCAGCGATTCTCTTGTACTTTTTGTATAGCTTGTGTCAGGGAAAGCTGATGATGAATCATTAAGTAAGCAAGAACCAAAGAGGCTGACCTGCTGATACCAACAACACAGTGTACCAGAACCCTAGCTGAGAAAGAACATTGCATTAGTAAAACAGGATCCATGTTTATTAAAAATGATCACACAGTATTAATAAAACAGGATGTACCTTAAATGAAAATTATCACACAAATGTAAGTATACAGGGGTCACACAAGTACTGTATTTGGGGTCATATAGTACATACATACATACAATATCATTAAAGTGGTTGTAAACCCCTGCATATGCCCAGTGAAGTGACTGGCCTCAGGTGATACACAGATTAAACAAATCATTCTACACAAGTTGTACCTGTTTATCTGCTCCCGCCTATCACCTAGATTCAGACATAGCGCAGAATTTGCACAGGATCTCTCCACTCTGAAAAGCAGGGGGCAGGGAGCTGAAGTTACTCTAGGGTTGCCACCTCATCCCTTTAAAACCGAACACATTCTAATTACACAGGCTCTGAGGCTAATTTATTGTAGACAAGGCACTGAGTTTAATTACCACCTTAATTAGCCACAGAACCTGTATAATTAATATGTGTTCGGGTTTAAAGAATTGAGGCGGCAACCCCAAGTTACACTCAGTGAAGGAAGCTGTTATCTGTTACCTGTCATTTTACTGATAGGCAAACAGTTTTTTTATTCAATCATCCACCTAAATGGATGATCAAATAAAAGTGCTGTTGCCTATCAGTAATATGACAGGCATTTGCTTGTGGTGAGTGTTGTATCCTGAGGGGGTATGTGGTTCACTGAGCACAAATGGTGATTGATTTGCTATTCTGATTAAAGGTGAAGGAGTGATGCTGTAAGCTATTTGACCCAGAGGAAAACATCTCACTGACTGTTTTTGGATTTGGTGCACTTTTCATCACCAGTTGGTGGAAGACTATGAACTTTGAAAAACATGTAGCACTGCTGTAATTAATATTACAGGTGTACCTTGGTTTACGAATTAAATTTGTTCTGCGTGACTTTTCGTATTGCGAAAAATTTGTAAACCGAAACGCGGCTTCCCATAGGAATGCATGGGAAAACCAATTAATCCGTTCCGGAGAGAAGAATAAAAGTAAAAAAAAAGTATTTTATCTGTTCAAAACTCTTTATAAAGTGCACTTTAAAGACATACAGTGAAGGAAATAAGTATTTGATCCCCTGCTGATTTTAAATGTTTGCCCAATCACAAAGAAATGATCAGTCTAAAAATCGAATGGTAGGTGTAGGTGAGACAAAATAGCAACAAAAAATTCAAAAGAAATGCATGTCTAACAAATTATGCACTGATCTGCATGTTCATGAGGGAACTAAGTATTTGATCCCCTATCATTCAGCAGGATTTCCAACATGCCCGATCACCGAAAAGGGGAGGAACCATGAAAAAAAGCGGCCAGTGCTATTGACCCACTAACAGAGTGAAAATTGGCCAATTATTCTTAGGTCCGATTTTTGGACGAAAAATCTGTTGAATTTTGACCTATGTATGGCCGGGACATGATTAAAAATTAATTTGTAAATGCATTGAAAACCAATTAATCTGTTCAGATTAATCTGGTCAGAAGAAAGTAAGAAAAAAGTCTTATCTGTTCAAAACTCTTTATAAAGTTCACTTTAAAGGCATAAATACTGTACAGGGACATGACTAAAAAAAAATTTGTAAAATGCACTGAAAACCAATTAATCTGTTTCGTATTGCGAAAAAAAAATTGTATACCGAGGCATTATTTTCAATGGATTTTCATTCGTAAACCAAAAATTATGTTAACCGAGGTGTTCGTAAATCGAGGTAGCCTGTATCTTGATTGCTATTCCTGACAATATAGCATTATAATTAATTATTAATTAAAATATATCGTTTTACATATGTTTACCTCCATAGGTGTTCAGTGCTTTGTGAATAAATTCTGAAGCAGAATAGAAATATTGACTGATGTCGAAGTCTGGCAGATCATTGGCTGGTACCCCATGATACGTTATGCTGGTACCATAAAATTCAGGGCTGCCATCAGAATGCATCCGTCCATGAGCTGCATTCAGGACATGTGTAATGCCCAATTTCCACAACTCATATCGATTATTGGCAAAACAACTGTGGGAACAAAATTATAGCAATAAACAGGTCATCTTTATGTTTCAGCTACAGTGAATAATGGTTTTATAGCAGAACTCTATGCAAAACAAATATTGATTAAATGCAAGATCCATGTCTATTTGTACTTGCATTGTTGTGTTCTGTGTGCATTTCTTCCAGATCTGTGCAGCAACCCTGCGTTAAACAACTTTTCCTTCTGTGCATGAGTTTCATGTTATAAAGACCAATCATTGCTCGTCTCTCCACTTGTTCAAGCTAACTGGTCTTGTATTTTTTTTTATTTTTTTTTTTTTTTGCAAGCAGCCTGAATTGGGAGCCTACACCTCTCCTTTCTGCATAATGCAACACAGTGGCAATGCCACCCCTGTTTTACAAAGTAAAATCTGGGTGAAACTGACATACATGACTCAATCACATGGTTATCTAGTCCAAAAATGAAAAACAAAATAATGAAAACATGCTAAGAATGATTTGTAGGATGCCTTTGCTTAAAGTGTTACTAAACCCATAACAGTAAAATCTGTCTGTATATGCAGTAAAGCATGTTTGTTATATTCACTGTGGAACCTAAGGGGTTAATCCTCTGCATTGTGTAAAAAGGCTGTTTGATCCTGACTTCTCTGATCCTCCCCTTCTTCCAGTGTCCCCCTCTTATCTCATGATAAGACATATCATGTGGAGTCACGTTGCACATGCTCAGTGTGGTTTGTATTGCTAGAGATGTGTTATTTTTTTGGCAGGGTGCATGTGATCAGCACAGGGCCAATCAACACAGTCCAGACAGAGGTCAGGGGTTCTGCATCCTCCTAAAGCAAAATGAAAACTTCTCCTATAAGCATTAACATTTGTTCTGCTGGACACTGATAGAAGTCACAAGACTGCTCTAACTGTTGATGAGAAAAGGTATTTAGCAGTTTATATTTACTAAAATGATTGTATTTACACGTTCTGTGTACTGTGGGAGACCATATTGGGTTTAGTAACAGTTTAACTCCTTCTAAAAATGCTAGCTGTCTGTTTATTATACTGAATCAATAGCTGTAATAATTACTGAGCTGCAACAAGGATGCAACAAGTGATGTCCTTTTGACCTGCATGCTTGTTCTGGGTCAGCACCTTAGAAAGGAAGCTATAAAAGTCAGCATCATCATGACAGCCAGATATTCAGAAGGAGAGGTTAGCATTGGAAGCCTGCACCTTTCTCTTGAGGTTTATGTTGCCTATACTGTATTTGGGAAAAGCAACAGGTCCACAGGAACTATAAGCACATTGTACTTACATACACTCCCCTTACTACTCTGATAGACCACCAAAGATTGTTGTGTAAGTTTGTACTTGTTGGTTCCCGCATATCTACATATTGTAGAATGACGGCTGGAACTAGTAAACCTCATTGGAGGATAGAGGCTGTGGGGGGGGGGGGGGGGGGGGGCAGAACAGAGGAAGAGGCACAAGGGACACATCCTACTGTCTGTAAGTTATGTCCCTTGTGCTGATATTTCCTGTTTGTGATTTTGGTTACACTTAGGTTTTAAATAATTAACAACAATGATTCCTACCAGCTCAATGAGAGGAATTAAGAGTTCCACCTTGGTGAAATCTGCAAATATTGTCAAAATCACTCAACTTAGCCTTAATGGGAGGTACTCTTTAAGGCCTTTCCTGTAAAGGGAACCTGATACTTTGAATAGTATGCAAAAAATACGGGGCCACTTTTAGTATGTTACTCTACAAGGTGACAATACTAATCCTCTGTGTAATTTTTGCCATCAGTTTAATCTCATGGGGGAAAGTAAATAACTTATTATACACAATCGCTCTGGATTTGCATAGCTCCACCTCTTATTTCTCTGAATATGCAGAAAGTACTATTTCTTACAGATGTGATTTACATTTTAATTCACAATGCCATTTGATAATTAAGGCCTTTCACACACAAGCTTCATATAGGAGCATTGTGTATATCACAGTGTTGCAAAACATATACAGGGCTTTCAGTAAACTACAAACTGCTTTTTTAAAGCCCTCAGCTTCAGCATGCATTACTACAGTAGTACCGTGAAAGTCAGCAGGAGGAAGCAGTGAAAGCTGTGGGTGACTCAAGATCCACACTTCTGGAAGTGTCAATTTCCTAGTTGACTATATTTTTCTGCAATATATGTCTCTAATAGTATGTGATTGCTTGATACGTTTTCCAGAAGGGAAAGGTTTTCTTTATAATAACTCCCCACACTCCCAGACTGGTGTTACCTATCATCACACTGGAGCTGAGGGCTGTTGATGGTTACTGAAAGCTTTGTAAATGCTGCTAATAGTGTAGGGACGGATTAACCTCCCTGGCGGTCTAACAAATCAATATTTTTGAATATCAAAAGTGGTACATTGTTTTGCACAAAAATTTGTTGTTTTATATTGAAGGCCTGTAATACTTAGGAATAACTCACTTAAATCTGTCCAAACAAGAGTCTAGTAAACATCCCGGGTATGATAAAGTTTGAAAAACAAAATCATACATTATAATATAAGAAATAATTTTATATATATATATATATATATATATATATATATATATATATATATATATAAAAAATAATAATAATACATTTAATTCAAAAATGTAATCAAACCAAAAAACACTGAAATGTGAAATATAGCGCCAAGTTCGCACATCACTGAGCTCAGTCGCAGAATCGTTTTCAGTGTCTGATGACGAATTTCCCCACGAATCATTATCACTCAATTCTGCAAGTGATTCTAATTTACTATCGCTGTTTTCTAGCTGATCTAAAACTGCTTTTGACCTAAAAGGACGCTTTTTGGATGCCATGGACGTTCTCAAGTTTCCAAGCAGAAAGAACGGTAAGAGTTCAGGCAGGGCACTGGACACAAAATTTAGACGAAATGGTTTGATACAGTAATGTAATCCTAACAGATTACAATGTATTGTGTGTATGTCATGTTTTTACTTTTTTGACTCTCCTGCCGGTTCCGCCCCCCTGGGTACCGACGCTTGCAGGGAAGGAAACCCAGAAGACTGATGCTGGCATCGGCTGGAGGACATGGCCAGAGGACACAGTGGGAGGGCATCGGGGGATCGCAGGGAAAAGGAAAGGATCGGGAGATTGCAGGACAAGCACTATAGAGTAATCCTGAGTGTGGCTCGGGGTTACCGCTTTTGGTACTGTAAATTAACCCGAGCCACACTTGGGATTATGAAGGTTAATACCTTGGCCAGAATTGTATTGCTGTCTGTGACAATGTTGACATTTTTGTTACCTCCTGCTGTATCAGGATGTGTTTTGAACTCTCCTGAGAAAAGACAATAATAAAAAAACTGACAGAGGTTCTGACTCCTCCTCTATCCAATGCAAAAATAAATTTCAGGTGTGAGCTCTATATTAGCCTTGACATTAATCTAAATCCTTTCATCGTCCTTAAAGTGGTTGTAAAGGCAAACATTTTTTAATAAAATTAAAAAAAGATGTTATATGTAACGTTCTTTACAATGGTATTGCACAGAACGATCCCTTACCTCCTCTTCTGGAGTCCCATGCTGTCTGCTCCTCCAGTCCTTTCAGTGCCCTCTCAGTAAGCTATGTGCTGAGGGAGCACCTGTCCATAGACACACACAGTGCAGATCAGGCACACCCCCGCCCCCTACTCCCTCACAGGATTTATTTATTATTATTATTTTGTTTCATTTTTTTTACACTGTCTCTTTAAACTTTTTTTGCTAAACGTTATTGTTATCACAAGGGATAAACAACATCCCTTAAAGGGATAGTTCACCTTCATCAAAGAACTGGCTATGCAGATAGCGTCTGTGGATAAAACCAAACTGTGTGTCTCTGACTAAAATGGAATAATGTCCTTGGTATAGGTGTAGGCCGTTTACATCCCTCATGAAGCCCGGCTGCAGTACTCCCAGGATGTTGCTAAGTGAGGCCTAGTTATTACTGCTCACCTCCACCATCACAGGAATGAGCTTTTTCTCTGATTCAGACCCCCTCACATGCTCTCTCTCCCCTAATACAGTAGTTCTGATCTCAACATCTGAGAGTTGACTCCTGAGATGGTGGAGGTGAACAGTAACATGTAGACCTCAGTTAGCAACATCCTGGGAGTATGCCCATCAGGCATCATGAGGTAAGTAAATGGCCTACACCTACAGCAAGGGTATTATTCAACTTTAGTCAGAGTTGCCCAGTGTGCTATTAGTTACAGATACCCCTTACCTGCATAGGCAGTTCTTTGGTGAAGGTGAACTATCCCTATAGATAGCATGGGCTGTGAGAGATCCTCTTTATGGAGAGATCTGTGGTCTACTAGACTCCAGATCTCTTCTCTACTTTCCAAAGCAGATGACCAAACTAAATCCAGGTTTTATCAGATGCTTTCAAAAGCCAGTAACTGTTTGTAAGAAAAAAACAAACTGAACCCAGAAGTGACAAAATCCTCATCATTTCTGTTTTCTGACATCACAGACATGATCTTGGTATCACCGTTCCCCTCCGAGGACGTATATATACACGGTAAGCAGATGGACAGCGGTTAAGGTAAAAGACAGAATTTAGAACCACTTTCAGTAAGAATTCCAGGTAAGAATACAAAGGACATTGGACCAATGTAACTACGCATATACCATACCTGTGCGATCCCTCTATAAGCCGAAAATCACCATAGACCCTGCTATCACAGTGATCTCCACCAGCTTACAGATCCCTCACCAAGTGTCTGCCATGGAGCATTGTGAACACACGATTTTGCCTGCTTGGCACAGGCATCATTCAGAAATCACTTTGCATTTTATTAATGAATGAAAAGCATTCTCTGATTGGACAAGGTAGAGAGGCAGGACAATGACATCACTCTCTCCACGTCTTCCAATCAGAGAGTGTTTTACATACATTGAGAAAATGCAAAGTATTCTCTAGATGGAGTCCCAGGTAACCTCCTGTGTTTACATTGTAGCAGGACAGGTGCTTGGCATGGGACCCGAAAACTAATGCAGATCACTGCAACAGCAGTGCCCACTACAGTGATTTCCTCCAGGGGGTATGGTATATTCATAGTCACATTGATCCAAGCTGGACCTACGTAACTGTGTACTTGGGATTCTTCTTTAAAGGCCAAGTTCAACTTTTCAGGTAAAATTTCTCTTACTTTATCCACAGGAGGTTTAAAATTTTGTCAGTCTATTTGGATTTTTAAAATGGTTTTCAGATTCCATCACTTCCTGTAGGCCTTCCTCTCTCAGCATTCACTTCCTGTAGGATATCTCCCAGAAGCCTTCACTTTCTTGTTGCATAACAGAAAAGAGCATGAGAGGGTGTGTTTACCACTCTGGACCACACTTCCCTCATTACAATACTACCTTCCACCCACTTTCTATACAATCTGATTGTACAATCTCCTTTTGATCTCCCATCAGCTATGTAGTACAAGGGCCTATATGATTTGATGCAAATTGAATGGATTGGTCGGGTGTGTCCTCCTATTCCATAGTTCTGGATTGTACAATCGGATTGCATAGTGTATGGCCATCTTTATACAAGTACATAGGAGGTGTACTCCCTCCATGTAATTCCACATAATGGAAAATCACATTCCTGCATGTGGTTTTATTTTGGGGGGGGGGTGGATTTTGGAGCATTTTCAGTCATCACGCATAGTGAATGGACTGCCCTATGTACAACAATCACCCCAGAGAAGCTCCAGAACTTTTTTTGGAGTGGAGCATGGTGCCTTTTTACTGCAGTTTTTGGTGTGTGTATAATGACAACACAAGCATAATGGACATTTGCTCCGTGTTTCTGAAACACATAGCAAAATGTGCATTTTCTATGCAGTTTGCCATGCATTCGGAAACACACAGATGGGAATGAAACCTCATTGTTCTTGTGTAAACAAACCAATTTCACTTCCAAGCCCCATTCACACCTAGCGTAGTGGGAGCACACATTTTTTGGCTCGTTTTTTCCCTGCTACACACATAGCACTGCCCTTTGACTATGCCCACCCTATCAGGCACCTGAAATATCGGTACCAAAAACTACCAGTCCTGCTTCAAGATTTTAGTGTTGTAAAAGAATACACATTTATACACAGAATATAACTGGATACTAACATTTATAGGTAAAGCTGATCCAGGGAATATCCAATTGCCTCTCGGGGGATCAGGAAGGATTTTTTTCCCCAGCAGGAGCAAATTGGATCATGCTTTGTTGTTTTTTTTTTTTGCCTTCTTCTGGATCAACTGTGGGTATAGGATTATAACTTTTTTATTTATTTATTTATTTTTAATGGTTGAACTGGGTGGACTTTTGTCTTTTTTCAGCCAGACTAACTATGTAACTATGAATGATCTGCAAACACCTTGTTCGTGCATATGTAGATGGGGTAGCTGTATCTATATATTTCATACAGTATGTATGTTCTGCTTCTGGTTTGTGCCATACAGACCATCTTATCTCAGCACTAGTTTACAAGACAAGGTCTATCTTACTAAAAACTAACTACACTCCTTCTTGTCTACAGTAATAGAACATTCAAAGAATGCTTCAGCTAGTCAGTGACAGTGTGATCTTCGCCTAGCCTTTAATAGTAGGTTACATATTGATTTAGGCAAGTTGACACGATACTCACAGATCTGCCAGGAATAAGTTGGGCCACACTTCATCCACGTGATGAGGAAAAGGATGTTTACTATCCAAGAGTCTCTGCAGCTCCCGGATTGTAGGACACACATCTGCTTGAGACTCCTCTTCCTTAGGCAGTGCTGTCTCTTCTTCCCCTGCCATAATATTACATGCAGGAAGTAACAAGAAGAAACTGTGTGTGACAGCAACACCGTGATTGCATGTGACAGGTGACAAGTCTAGTGCGTTAAAGATACACACTGTTCAGATTTTTTTTTCCACGCGCCTCTAATAAAACAATATGGGCATGAAAAATCAGGTACTATAAAATTATACAGGTGTGCCTCGGTTTACGAATGCCTCGTTAATGTAATTTTCAGTTTGCGAATGAAAATCCATTGAAAATAATGCCTTCAGTTTATGAATGTTTTACAAATTTTTTTCGCAATACGAAGCGTATGTCGGTGACGATTTTTAAATGCAATTGCTGGCTTTTTTTTTTCCTTCACTATAGCTCACAGAATTAGCTGTCACTTTCCCTGGAGCTAAAGGATACTTTGTTTCTTTTAACTTGGGGAAACAAACTAAAAGGAAACATTGTTTCTTTTAACCCCAGGGAAATAAACTAAAAGGAAACTTTGTTTATTTTAACTCAGGAAACAAGCTAAAAGGAAACATTGTTTCTTTTAACCTGGGGAAACAAACTAAAAGGAAAACATTGTTTCTTTTAACTCGGGGAAACAAACTAAAAGGAAACATTGTTTCTTTTCACACTGGGAAAGAAACTAAAAGGAAACTTTCTTTCTTTTAGCTGGGGGGAAAGTGACAGCTGATTCTCTGAGCTATAGTGAAGGGAAAAAAGCCTATAGTTACATTTAAAAACTGGCACTGACCTATAGTAATAGCGACTTTTGTTTTACTTTTTTCTGACCTCTGGAATGGATTAATTGCTTTTCAGTGCATTCATATGGGAAACCACGTTTCGGTTTACAAATTTTTTGCAATGCGAAACGTCCCGGAGAACGCATTAAATTCGTAAACCGAGGTACACCTGTACCTCCTAAGTTTTGAACTTGCCAAAGAGAGACATTTTTTAAAGGGGTAGAATGTGACATGTATAGCACACCAAGGCAAAATGTGAGTGTGGTCAACGTAAAGTAAAGTAGGCTTGAAACATATGGGTGAGGTATAACTACAGCAGCATTGATCATCACATCATCCACTCGCCTCTCCATCTCTAACAATCAGAGGAAGCTTTGTATTCATTGATTAAAAATACAAGGCTTCTCTTGAATGGTGGAAAGGCATTGAGTTCCAGCAATAAACAGGATGTTGTCCATACTGCTGCAGAACACAACATTGTATACTGTATGTAGCTGATGCTACTATAGCATAGTACAGCGCGCACAGTAGCCACCTCACTTAGTCATGTAAAAAGTCCAGGTTGGCCCAAATGAACTATTTTTTAGGTCAAAGTAAATCTGGAATTCTACCTTAAAGAAGAACTTCAAAAGTATATAATGTATTTATGGTGCAATGCGCAGGAGAATGCTGTATAAAGTCCAGAATACAGAGTGCAGTGGTCAGGAGTATGGAATATAGAACATAGTGTCCATGGGTGTGCAGGGCTTAGGAGTTATGCATAGGTACAGAGGTCAAGAGCGTGAAATGCACAGTGTGCAGGGGGTCAGGTGCGTGTAAAACAGACTGCAGGACTCAGGAATGCATGATGCAATGGTCAATTCCCCCTCTTAACAGTACAAATCCCCCTTCCCCAAGTCCATTACAGATCTCCCTACAAACACAGCAGCGGGTCCTAATTTTATAGGCATGTGGGTGCAGGTGTATGGCCTCCAAACACTGACAGTGTGTATTTGGGGCTACTCACCCACACCTGCACACTTATCAAATTAGGACCTACGGCTGTTGTGACGAACGCGGCATCAGACCCCTGACCTTCTCACCAAACTCGTGAACGAAGGACTGGCCAATCTAAAAACCGCAATGTCACGTTCGTAACAATGCCACACCCAGCTGCTCCCTGCACGATTTTCCAGCTAATTGAACCACAATCTATGTACCGGCAGCCTGGGAGCAATTGTTATTGGGTCAGGTTAATTACGCAATTAACCCTGCACACTGCCACCACCTCCTTTTTTACAGAGAAAGAGGAAACTCGGCGATATCCGCAATAACACTATAATGGTTGAGGTAATCGTCTGTATAACACGGTCACCGCAGGCCGGTTATACAGAGGGTTAAACAAACACAGTAGCTCTCTTTTTAGAGGCAGGAATTCGGAAAATTGCAATAAAGAGCTATAGAAACAGTTCAACACTTTCAGAAGGAAAGATTTATTACTAAATGGTCAAAAGGGTGCAATAAAAATATTTACAGAAAAAAAGATGTAACCAATATATATAAATATACAGAGAGCAACAGCACAGCAAAGAGATAACAGAAAGGAGGTTAAAGGGTTAAAGTACTTGCCAATCAGCCTTGGGTTTGCAGATCAAGTTTCAGAGTGAAAGGGCTGTCTCCCAAGTTGGTTCTGATGTTAAACGGGAGTATTCTTCAACTTTCCTCTCTTAGGCCTGACAGCACATTTTGTAGTTCCCCAGCAGGGGGGTGTCTCTGAAGTCAAGGACCAATACCCCGTTTAGGGCATGAAGGTCTGGGTGTAGACCTAAACTAGAGCCAAAGTCTCTTTTAGTTCATATTTTGGCTCATAACTTTCCATCTGCACAAGTGACACTCCACCCGCAGGTAGATTATTATGCAGACACTTCTGAGGATTGATTAGATATGAAATATGAAATTATACACTGAATGGTTCACGAGATCTACTTTTCTATGTATCCCTGCCACTGACCTATCAAATTGTTTGTCTCCTCTTGGCCACTCTGACGATATTCCAAGATATGAGACATAGGGGAAAAATGGATTTTAAAAGGGCTATCTGGGCTGTGCTTAGCTAGAATCTCTTTGAACTCCTGGGAAGGCTTGCATTAGCTTTTACGAGGTGTTATATTTCACAGCTTTCACACACACACACTGGCCAAATGTCTCTATGACTCTCAGAGAGGAGGGGGGGGGGAATGAGGGGAGAACATGGAGAATTCTTAACAAAATGGAGGGTTGGAGCAAAATGGTTGAACCGTGTCCATCTCTGTGTGTACGCTTGCTACAGCTGTATTCATACAGTGCTACATCCTCATAGAGTAACATTTTTTTACATTTTTAAATTTTTTTTTTACAACTCTGTTGGAGGGGGTTTGGGTAAAATATCAAGGGTCCAAACAGAGTCTGACATCTCACCTTTAAGACAGAAAAAAAATTGAAATGAGAACACAGATTTCTTTCTCTGCAGCCTCAGCTGCACTGCAGATGAATGAACAGGATGACAGTCGGATGCAAACGGACAGGAGGGGTATATATTGTATAATGGAATATACACAGCTTCTACTTTCTTACTGCCTACATTTTATGAGGTGTTAAAAAGTCAGGGCAGTACAAAAAAAAAAACCAAAATCACACCATTTTGGAAAGCAGACACCCCAAGAAATTTGCTGAGAGGCACACTGCACCCATGTAAGATTTTATTTTTTGCCACCAGATTTTGGACAATGACAAAAAAAATTTTCATTTACACAAAGTTTTCACTTTAATTAGATATTTCTCACACATGCCATGGGTATATGTAGAATTGCACCCCAAAACACATTCTGATAGTTCTGAGTATGGGGATACCACATGTGTGAGGCTTTTTGGGAGCCTAGTTGCATACAGGGGCCCAAAACCAATGACCGCCTTTGGGCTTTCAAAGGATGTAATTCCCTTACTTTCATTTCCTAACTACCTATCACAGTTTTGGAAGCCCTGAAATGCCAAGATAGTACAAACACCCCAAAATGTCCCGTTTTTGGAAAGTAAACACCCCAAGGTATTTGCAGAGAGGCATGCTAAGTGTATGGAAGTTTTTGTTTTTCGCCACAAGTTATAAGAAAATGACAACAAAAAAAAACTTTTTTTTTTTACACAAAGTTGTCACTTTAATTAGATATTTCTCACACATGCCATGGGTATATGTAGAATTGCACCCCAAAACACATTTCTGATAGTTCTGAGTATGGGGATACACATGTGTGAGGCTTTTGGGGAGCCTAGTTGCATACAGGGGCCCAAAACCAATGACCGCCTTCGGGCTTTCAAAGGATGTAATTCCCTTACTTTGTTTCCTAACTACCTATCACAGTTTTGGAGGCCCTGAAATGCCAAGATAGTACAAACACCCCAAAATGTCCCGTTTTTGGAAAGTAAACACCCCAAGGTATTTGCAGAGAGGCATGCTAAGTGTATGGAAGTTTTTGTTTTTCGCCACAAGTTATAAGAAAATGACAACAAAAAAAAAACTTTTTTTTTTGCACAAAGTTGTCATTTTAATGAGATATTTCTCACACATGCCATGGGGGTATGTGGAATTATACCCCAAAACACATTTTGCTACTTCTTCTGAGTATGGAGACACACATGTGTGAGACATTTTAGGAGCCTAGCCATTTATAAACCCCCAAAATCCAATTACCTTCTTCAGCCTTTCAAAGGTTTAGAGGTCCTTAATTTTCCCTCATACCTTGGGGTGTCTACTTTCCAAAAAGGAGTCATTTGGGGGGGGGGTGTTTGCACTATCATGGCATTTCAGGGCCTCCAAAATAGTGATAGGTTGTCAGGAAATTAAGTGATGGAATTACGCCCTTTGAATGGCTGAAGGTGGTCATTGGATTAGACCACCTAAACTAAAAAAGTCTCACATGTGGTATCTACTTACACAGGAGAAGTACCAGAATGTGTTTTGGGGTGTAATTCCACATATACCCATGGCATATGTGAGAATATCTCATTAAAGATACAACTTTGCATAATTTTCCAAAAACTTGTGGTAAAAAATTAAATCTTCCATAAACTCAGCATGCCACTCAGGGAATACCATGGTGTGTCTAACATTAGAAGCTTCTACCACGCATCACCCACTCTTCTAACCACTGGAAGACTAAGCCTTTTCTGACTAAATGGTTAGTACTTCCGCCTGGCAGTATTAGGGTCGTTGGTTCGAATCCCCGCCACGGCACCTCCTGCCTGGAGTTTTCATGTTCTCCCTGTGCCTGCGTGGGTTTCCTCTGAGTAATCTG